AGGCTGCAGCAACTGTGGTCCATGGGAGCCCAACCATTGCTCTTGCTGGCAGCAGACCTTGACGTTGTCCACACGAGGCTGCTTTGGTATGCATGCAGAACGTAAGAGTTGTGGGGCTCAGCAGCTCCCACTCATATTTCAAAGGAAGACCTGGGAGGCTGGGCAATACGTGACAGGTCTGAAAGCCGTGCTGGGAGTTCTTGAGAGGTGATGAGTAAAGCTGCTGCAATGTGTGAGGGTAAAGCTGACGCTTATGTAATCTTTTTTGTTGTTGTTGTTGTTACCCTGGGCCTCACAGCTAAGAGTTTGCCATGAGTCTCAAAGGAGACTTTAGACTTGGACTTTTGAGCAATGCTTGAACTGTTCGGTTGTTGGCAACTCTTGGAGATGGACTGAATGCATTTTGCATAATGAGATAAAAATAACCATTTTTTGGACTTTTTTTTAAAAAAAACCCTCACCCAAAGTTATTGGATAATCTTTTCCTTGTTTGCTTTTGTGAGCCAAGAGGGTACACATTTTGGTCTCTGCTCTCTGAGAGACACAAGTGTTAGTCTGTCATTGCAGCTAGACAAAAAGACTAGGACCTGCAGACACATAAGGTGAAGCAGTATGGTCTATGCCCAAGTATCACTGGGTACCCTTCTGGGAGAGAAAGGGTCCCAAGTGACTGACTGAGCCTACGTTCAAACTGGAGGCTGGTAGTATTTGCCAGCTAGGTGTCACACATGTACTCTGTTCTTGAAGAAAACACAAACTGAGCTTTGTGGCCCTTGTTCAGGCCTGTTCCTTTTTCAACTGCCAAGATAAACAGGCTGCAAGAAGTTCCTTTGCCACCTGCAGTCAAATTTATACTTTTTATATCTTCCTTCTTTTTTGCAGTGCTGAAGATCAAACTCAGGGCCTTCCTTGCATGCTAGGCAAATGCTCTACCACCTGACCCCTGAAGTCAAATTTATTTATTTATTTTTATTTTTTTATTTGTTGGTCTTTTTGAGACAGGGTCTCACTATGCAGTTCAGGCTGGCCTTGAGCTCACTTTGTAGCCCAGGCTGGTCTCGAACTCGCAACGATCCTTGATCCTCCTCAGCCTCCCAAGTGCTGGGATTATAGGCGTGCGCCACCATGCCAGGCTAAATTACTAATTCTAAAGACCCTATGTTTTCATTTCCATTTGTCCCATTTCTGTTTAGACATAATGTAAAAGCCAGGTCAGGTCTTGTACTTTTCAATTATGTTAAAGTAAAATACAGTAAATACAATCAGTTTCAAGGAAGCTTTTCAGATCCTAAGTACTTCTTAAGAAATCACTGGCTTCAAAATAAACTTACACATTTAACTAAGGCATGCACTTTTGTGTATGGAGTGGGGGAATGGATATCTTATTAAACTTCCCTGAAAAACCATGACTCATTTAAAAAGGCAGGGTTTTTGTTGTCGTTGGGTTTTTGTTTTGTTTGGTGCTGGGGATTCAACCCAGGGCCTTCACACTGAGCTACATACACCCTCAGCCCTTTTTATTTTGAGACAGTGTCTCCCTAGAGCACTAACTTGCCTAGGCTGGTCTCGAACTTGCTAGGAGTACATGTATGTGTCATCACACCTGGCTTACAGATTCACTTTTTAAGGGAAGATTACCTGGAAATTGGAAGAATCAAAACCCCACAAAAAACACCATCAAGAAAGCATACAAAAAACCCACTTTAACTTGAGGAGAAAAAACCCCTGAAATATCTGAGAGTAGCATATAGTTTTATAGCAGCCATAAAAACTTCCAGGAACTGTCCACTTTCTTTGTATCAGCTGATGCGTGGCAAACGGTATTTCCATGAAGTGTTACAACTGTCAGCCTTCCTCCCACAGGCTTTTTTTCCAAAGATGACTTCAGGGAGGATGTGAGGTCCATGAACCCTAGAGCTAACGGTGTCTGTTCAGGCAGCACCACCCAGACCAACCCTAGGGCTGGCTAGGCACGTATCATGGTTAAGACCCACTTTGGAGGTCTGAAGATACTTGAATTTTTGCCTCTCATCAGAAAGCAAGCTCATGGTATCTCATCTGGTTTATGTTCAAGACCGAATTGGCTGATAACTGTGAGAAACTAACTTTCTTCCAGGTTAGGATATTTCATCAGCAGGCCTGAGATACAATGGAAAGTTTTGTTTCTCATAGGTTCGAAGGCCCTGACCTCACAGTGCGGTGAGGCCCCCTGGCGGCAGATGAATCGCCCGCAAACCGAAGCCACACTTACACACAGGTCTTGGATAAGGAATCTGGTAATGTGCCCCAACTTCAATCCTGGCTGTGCATTTGTCTGCACTGTTTAACCAGGTCTGTGCCTGTGAGATTTTTGTTTTTCTGCAACAGCGCCTTGGCTTCGATTTGTATGTACTGTTTTCCCTCAATGGCGTCTTCCACCTGCCCAGATTATCACCGGCCACTTCTTTCACAGCCTGAAAATGTGGTGATAGCAGCCAACTTCTTGTGTTGCTGCTGTCACCCTGCGTCCGTCCTGCTGTCCTCCAGCCACAGAAGTGCCGTGCCCTTGCAGGGCAAGGAAGAGGCAGTGCCAGGAGCTTTGCTCTCCTCCCTGGTCCTTGCAGGCAGCACTTTGAAAAGTACGGCAAGAATACGTACGCATTTCACAAATCATTACCTTCTCCACTGAGCACTTTGACTGACCATGATTCCCAGCTTCCTTTGAAGTTAGACACAGCCACGGGGATGAGTAGCAGCGGATGGAACACGGAGAGTTTGGCCACAAACCCACCCATTCTTCATTCACTGCCCCTCATCTACTGACCAGACGCACAGGATCCAATGGAGAGCACCATGTGGAGCCCCCAGGGGGTCATGAAGCCACCAGATGCAAGGAAATGGGTCCCTGAGTCACCACTCAGCAAGAACAGTATGAGTCACCCGCCCAGGAGCACACGTGGGGAACTGCGGGCAGACAATAAACATTTGTTAAGCCACTGAAACTGTGAACTTCTTTTGCTATTGCAGTTTGCCTGCCTTGGTAAATATAGGGTTAGGGTATACATGTTTTTCTTGCACCCTCATCTGCAGCTGAATTCACTAGGAAATTAGCTGTGAGCTCTTCTAATGACCCTGCAAAAAGATACGAAATCTTGAAGAAACCTGGCTAGGACTAAATGTAAGGCCTTTCTACCAGCTGCCCTTCCTTGCCAACACTTTCTACGGGATGTCTGAGGCTTGCGACTACTTTGAAGTCCATCGCTGAGAGTGGAAAGAATCATTCTTTGCTGTTTTTACAAGGCCATGCTCAAGAGAATTTGTTACTTAATATCTCAGCTGGCATCGAGGTAAATGCCATGTACACGTTTTATTTTCTACTGAAGTGCCAGACTCCAAGAGAGTTAAAATAATGTTGTGATCTGACAGAACAAAGGATTACCACATTACTCCTAATAATTATTTTTTAATTTGAGACAGGATCTCAGTAAGTCGCCCAGGCTGACCTCCAACTTTCAACTCTCTTATCTCAGCCTCCTGAACAGCTGGGGTTACAGGCATTTGACAACAAACCCAGCTACTTGTGAAATTCCTTTCTTTTTTTTTTGTCTTTTTGAGACAGGGTCTCGCTATGCAGTTCAGGCTGGTCTTGAGCTCACTTTGTAGCCCAGGCTGGCCTCGAACTCACAATGATCCTCCTGCCTCAGCCTCCTTAGCGCTGGGATTATAGGTGTGCACCACCATGCCCAGCTTACTCGTGAAATTTCTTATCCAATCATGTTTATAGTATTTTTTTGTGCAGTAGGCCCTCTATAAGACTGGTAAAGCCAACAAAGTTTGTCATAATAATGTTTGATAATGCATAGGATTTCAAAGAAAACAAATTGAATTAAAATGTACCTATCAAAATCTTTTGAAAATGTTATAGTAATATGTCTCTACTGACTCATTAAATAACAAGATCTAGTGGTACCACTAGTAACTTTTGCAATTTTTAAGTAATAATGCCTGGACATTACATTTTGAGATAATTATAAGGATTATTATTAAATGAAAAATTTGTGATTTCTGTCAGTGACAAGAATCACAAGTATTGTTACTAATTGGTTTGTTGCCTATATTCATAATCAGAGGAAATGTTACGTCTCAATTAGAATTTTATGGAACAGAAGATGAAACCCTGATTCTTTCCACGGAGCTAAGGTTAAGAATGCCAAGACTAGGCCAAACCTGGTGGCCTATGCCTGTAATTCCAGGCTGGGGCAGGAGGATCAGTCTGGCCTGGGCCACACAGTGAGTTCAAGGCCCACGCCTGTAATGGCAGCACTCAGGAGGCTGAGACAGGAGGATTGCTGCGAGTTCGAGACCAGCCTGGGCTAGCTTCAAAGTGAGCTCAAGGCCAGACTGGACTGCACAGGGAGACCCTGTCTCATAAAGACAAAAAAACAAAAACAAAAAAAAACACAAAAAACTGTCAGGACTAAAGTTTCCCAAAAACATTGATGGTGCTTCTATGTGTGCAAATATGGGTGGTTTAAATTTTTTTTCTTTTTTGTATTTTTCATGTTTCCTACAATAAGAAAATATCACTTTTACAATTATAAAAAGACATTCTATGAGAGGTATTGGTTAGATTCAGGATACGGACATAAAATTGGAAAAGCAAAATGCTTGAAGGAAAATTTTCATGGTGAGATGGAGAGAAATAGAGAATAGGAATATGAATAAAGTGAGCCTGACTTTCATCTCAGGGACTTGATCTTTATACACAGAGGGATCATCTCTTTAATACCCACGGCTGCCGCTGCTCCGGGCCGAAGGACCGCAAGCGTTTCACTAGGCTACACAACCACTTTTGGGCCCCATCTGAAGTAAAACGTGAACCCACATGCTATTCATTACTCATAGGTTTAGTAATTGCGCTCCGCAGAGCTTCCGCACCTCCCCTCCGGCTTGCCTGCCTCACTGCCGGGACCTGTCTGCTCCATGCTTCCCGCAGGAGACTGGGAGAGGGAATTCCCAGGCTGTGAAACCTTAACTCTTTACCAGGCGCTACAACCTCATCCTTATCTGCCTCCCCCAACTCAAAACTCTACCCCACGCGCCAACCTCCCCGCAGTTGGGCTCCTCCAATCAGCCCAACTCGCTCCGGCCTCGGAGGTTTTCTTGATCCTTCTTTTCCTACTCCGTCTCCTGCGCGCCCCAGCGTGACACCCCGTCCAGGGGCTTCAGAGACCTTTCCTGGCCTCGTCGGGAGGTCCCGGTCCATCCCTGCCGGTCAGCACATTATTACCAACACCATCTAAGGTTATTTCCATATCGTTTGTCCTACTAGGTAAAAACAAAACAAAACAAAAACAACCAGAAGTACTGCAGGCGGAGATCGCGTCGGTATCCTCGGCTCGCAGAACTACCTGGCACAGGAACGCAGGGGTGGAATGAATGAACACCAGCGGACCATCTCCTTGGCGCTCTTCTGGTTTAGCAACGGAAATCAGTTTGTCCGGCGAAAGCACGTTAACAGCAGCTTCCATCAGCCCGCAGCTGTCGGCCCCCTATGAACCCCCGCCAGGAGACGGTCACAGACGCGGTCTCAGCCGGGATTGCAAACACGGGGGTCCCCAAGTCTCACGCAGGGCGCGCGGTACGCAACTGCGGCTGCGCGGAGCGAAGGAAGGGGCGGGGCAGACCCACTTCCGGGCGCGCGTCCGGAGCCGGCGAGACCGCGCCTACCCCCTGGGTGGGCTAGAGCGGACCGCGCCTGCCCCTGGGTGGGCTAGAGCGGCGTCCGGGGTTACAAGCGAGGCGGCCATGGAGGACAAGAGGATCTTCTCGGACATCTGCGGCGGCCGTCTGGCCCTGCAGTGCCGCTCCTACTCGCCTTTCTGCCGGGAGTTCTGCGTCAGCTGCCCTCGGCTGTCGCTGCGCTCGCTCACCGCCGTCACCTGCACCGTGTGGCTGGCGGCCTACGGACTCTTCGCTCTGTGCGAGGTAGCGCGCGGCGCGAGGGCGGGGGGCGCCCAGGCCTGCGGGGACCGCGCGTCGCGGGGCCCGGGGCGGGGCCTCGCTGGTTCCGGGGAGCGCTCTGCTGGACAGCTCTTTCCGGGAGGTTTGGGGCTGGGGGCAGCCGCCCAGCCGGCGTGCGTCTGCCCTCGCACCGCCTGAGCTCCCCGGCCGCGAGCTCTGCGGGCGCAGGTGCACAGCCCCTCACCTGCGCGCTCTGGCGGGGCGTGAGCGCGCGTCCCGTCCGTGCCTCCTGCTCGGCAGTGTCTCGGCTAACGGCCTTCTGCGTAGGCTTGCACAAGCTGTGCCCTCCGCAGGTAGGGGTGTGTGCGCGGCTGTAGTGTCGCGTTCTTCCTAGCCCGGAGTTTTCCAGGCAGTTTAATTCACCCTTCTCGCAGTCTCTTCCTCGATTTCAAGTGTGCTTTCTGAGGAATTGGGAAATTTCAGACATGAGCAGGGTCTGTGCTCCGTTCCCAGCCTCGTTCGTATTTTCTCCGAGCCTCAGATTTCGCATCTCTGAAATAGAATGAATATCTGCTTCAGAAAGGCGGGCATGGTGGCGCACGCCTGTAATCCCAGCGCTCGGGAGGCCGAGGCAGGAGGATTGTAGCCAGTTCGAGGTCAGCCTGGGCTGCGTGTCGAGATCCTGTCTCAAAATGAATAAAGAAAGAAAATGTAGAAAAAAGCCTACTTTGGAGTATTACGAGGGTCAAGGGCAGTAACTTTGTGACAGTACTCAAAAGAGTCATCGGAATTGTCATTTTCAGGATGAGTTCTAGTTTCTTAGATAGTATGCTTAAATAGTATATTATTCTAGGAGTGATTTCACCGCAGCTAAGTACATCAGGCCTATTGATTTCTGTAATTGGCATATTGCTTCCATTACTGCACCCATTGTTATTTTTTGTTTTTGGTAATACCGTGTTTTTCAGAGCTATTTCAGAGCACAGTACTTTAGCATAGAAGTAGCCAAAGTAAGATGCCTTAATCCACCCCTGCGCTTTTTGAGACAGGGTCTTGCTATGTCTGGCCTTGCTATGTCAGCCAGGGTCTTGCCCAGGCTGGCCTTGAACTTGTGATCCTCCTGCCTCAGGGCTGAGATTATAGGTGTGCTCCGCCACTGCCTTCATTTGTACCAAATTGTGTCTACAAGTTTCTTCATAGGTCAGTTGAAATAATTAAATTGACTTGAAAACCCTCTCCAATTTAATTTATAATTATTTGAACTTTGATACTAGCCTGAGGTCTAGTCGTACAGGGAGGAGGAACCCACAGAGAGCCAAGTGCTATACTGAATTCCTTACTTCCACCTTAGAAGAGAACTAAGGCTCAGAAAGTGATAACTTGCCGTTACGTGACAGATCTGGGCTTCAAGCCCAGGGCTCTCTGACTTTGAACCCCCCCCCCCTTTTTTCCATTATACCATAGTATAACTGATCTTAAGCAGAATTTTTTTTTTTTTTTTTTGGTTTTTCTCCGGTATCGGGAACCGAACTCACGACCTTGCGCTTGCCAGGCAGGCGCTTTTTGCCGCTGAGCTAAATCCCCAGCCCTTAAGCAGAATTTTTAAATAGAAGTCTGTTTTTATGCAAGCTTCCTTCCTATACTTTTCTCTCTCATGCTAATAATTACCCAACTATCCCCAACTGCCTTGGAAGCTAATGACTTATCTTCTTTAACCTGTACTCCAACACTTCTGTAGGGCTCTGTGTTGTACCAACATTTCTTATCTTTCCTCTTTTTCATAATATCTATGAGGGTAATAAATATCTGGAGAAGAAGTCTGATTGAAGGGATTTACTCACATATGTATCTTAACTCTGACCCAATGAATATTGAATTATTTAATTCCAGACAGAAAAGTGAAGTAGAAAAGCTCTAAGTAGTTAAGACATTTTGAGCATTTCATTAACTCCTCAAGCTAAATTCCCTTACCATTTTCTCTTACTTTCTAATTAAAGCTTTTTCCTATAAATTTGTGCATGTTTTAATTTTCCCTTCTTGCTAAAAGCAAGGACCCACGGTAGCCAGTGACAAGCACGCCCAGTGACTCAGAACCTCCCACTAGGCCCCTTCCAACAAGCACCTGGTTTTGAATTTCATTTATTTCAGCTTAAATGTTTCCTCTTTTTCCTTTTCAACTAATTGTTTCATATCTGTCAATAGCCACCATATTCTCTGATCCAATGAAGTCCTGCCTCCCTGAAAGTCTTCCTGGGATCTCTGTCTGTCTGTCCCCCACCCCCTTAACACACACACACACTTTGGCACTTACAGTCAGTACTACAGCCTTCTCCAGAATTTTTTCTCTATGTTAACTTTGCCACTAATAAGCCTGTTTGGGCAGGGACTGAAGTCTATTCCATTTGTATCCCATAATACTTACTCAGTTCAGACTGTGTACAGGACACTGTCTACACAAGGCAGTTAATTAACTCAAAGTGGGTCTTCTTGGATCATCAGAGGCCCAACATTGAATCCTCCTTTTTTGGTCAAAAAAGAATTATCTAGCACAGAGGTCAACAAATTTCCTTTAAAAAGCCAAACATGAGAAGTAAATATTTTATGTTTTTTTGGTTTATTTTTATTCCTACAACTGTATAAAAAATTAAAAATCAGGGGCTAGCGATATAGCTCAGCGGCACAGCACCTGCCTGGCAAGTGCAAGGTCGTGAGTTCAATTCCCAGTACCCCTCCGCAAAAAA